GAATATATTGAACAAGACTGGACCCAGGACTGACCCCTGGGGGACACCACTAGCCACAGGCCTCCAACTTGACTCTGCGCCATTCACCACAACCCTCTGAGCTCGGCCATCCAGCCAGTTCTCAATCCACCTCACTGTCCGCTCATCTAGCCCACACTTCCTGAGCTTACCTAGGAGGATGTGATGGGAGACAGTGTCCAAAGCCTTGCTGTAATGGCTAATCACACTTGGATTTTATTTTATATAGACATTTGAATTTTATTTTAGTTAAAGAAATTGCCTATCTGACTTTCAGAAATGTTCTAATTCAAAATTTCACCATGTTCTCTAATGGTTTTTGTTCAATCTTGCTAATGTAGGCATATTCCGTGTATTTGATGATAGTTTGGATTAGTAGTGTGCTTTTTCAAGCAAGTTTTCTTACTATTTCCATTTATTATGCTTTATTTCACATTATAGAGCAGTTCAGAACATACAAACTGAATGTTTTTTGGTGGAACTAAACCACAAAGTATTCTCCACAGATACGATTAACACACTCCAACTGTTAGTAGGCTTTTAATTCACAAACGACAGTAGAATTAGTCTGAAATAAACCTCGCTGGAATCTCCTCTGTTCTTGTGAACTTCAGCTGCTTTGACCCAAAATTTGCCCTGTACTCCCACAGATTCATGCTACTTGCTATTACAGACATAACTATAGCGTACTTCAGTCTGTGTCACTTTCCAATTTCTTGCACGTTACCTGAAGAAACCACTAAAATATTTAAGTTGCTTTACGGGCATGTTTATTTACCAAATGAAGATCTCCAAGCCAATGATGCTTTGAATGGGTCTGGCATCATGCTAAAAAGGTTCCAAAGTCCCTCATTCCTTTGCAGGAGATACCTAATTTGGGGTTTTAAATCACTTAGTAAAATCACCTTTGCCACCTCGTTTCCACAGTTTTCTTCAACTTGGAGATGTCGTATAGGAGACTGAATTTAAGTGATTTTTTTTCCGGGTTTTTTGGGGTCATGATTGAATGCACAGTAAGTGATGTTTTACTAGCCACAATCAAAGCTAAGGTTTGTAGGAAGACCTGCATGTTGTTTTAGACCAGGCTACTTAAAAGCTTGCCATGTTTTTTTCCTATTTAGGTGCTGGTCCTGAAACAGTAAGTAACAAAATGGGTTATTTTCAGTGATGGAGAAAAGTATTTAGGGTGTAAACACTTGTAAAATGCTTACATTCAAAATAATCCAGCTTGTTGCAAACATGGTGATTACATTTTATCATTAAGTGTTGTGACAGACCCTTCAGGATGTCCGGTTTCCAAAGCAGAATGTAGTTAAAGGAAAGAACTTCAGGTCTACACAGACTTTATTTCCCTTATCTCATTGCTGCTCTTGTCCTGAGGGATAGAAGTAGTTTAACTCTCGTACATCTCCATGTGACTTGGACCATAATATCATCCTGATTTTGGTATGTTTTAGAGTTATAAGCTTATGGGATGGCTTAGCATAAATTGAGACAAATGTAGAAGTCAAGAGGTAACATCTTATCTGAAGCTTATCGTCAGAACTGGCGTTTCTCTTGGAACTTTTTCCCCTCCAATCTCCAAAGTAAAATGTGACAAAGAAGGCAGATCCTTATGATTTTCAGGGCTCATGTTTATTTCCTTACCATTCTTATTTCTAGATGAATCCTCCTTTTTTATAGGACAGTGATAGTTAAGCTGATGATGTTGTCTTCCCCTAACTTCCCTGGTAGAAAAGTATCATGAGATACTCTATTTCAGGAAAAAGTAGTTTTCATAGCAAGCTTAGCTCTGCATAGTCTGTAGATGATTGTTTTCCTTATGCAAGGTGTGGAGGGGAGTTGCACTGGAATGTGTTTCAGCAGCAAAGAATAAATATACTTGCAGCTGACTTTATATCCTTCTTTTAAGAAGTTCTGCTTTGTGTTTAGGCACATTGAAGATGGATATCTGGATCTTTGTGAAGCAAGTTTAGTTTCATGTTTAAAGTTTACCTCTCCAGTTTTGAGAGGGAAAATCTGAAATAGCAGAATGTTGTAATATAATAGGGAAGTATCTTTATAGGCTGTCTTTCCTTCCCTTGTTTGCTTTGTGACTGGCTTTCATAAGGGTGTAGGGCAAGAAAGGCAAAGAAAATAATGTGCATTGGTATTGTTAAAACCAATGCTTAAATTAGCAAAGTTTGTATATTGATAAAAATACATGCCGAGAGACACTTCAGTAAGATCAACTATTTTCTCCCTGAGTATTTTGCCTTTACTGAGGAATTTTAATGCCCTGGTTATAAAATCATGTTGTCATATACCAGGATCTTAAGAGCTGGAGACCTCAGTGAGAGCTTAATGATAGCTAGACAAAAAGACTAGGGAACGAGTACTCTTTCGCTGTGCAAATATATTGTGTTCTGTTGGAACAGCTGACACATTCTTTCCACACAAAAGGCCCCCTCTTAAATATTCTAATACAATCTTTGGGAATATCTTGCAATAAAGGCACCTGCTATGGTCTGACTAGTCTACTTAGACATGTGGCTACCAAGAACACATCTTTTTTTTTTTTGGAAATATGTTGTTTCTTCCTAGTTACTCTTACATGCTTTGTAGATGTTACAAACTGCTGAATTAATAGAGAATGTGTTATCAGAGACTTCTTTTTCTGTTCCAGTTCCTGACACTAACTTTCCTTGCAGAACTACTGTGTAGGTACTGTATTTGTTTACAAAAGCATGGCTGGCCAACTCAGTCATATGAAAACAAATCAGGAAATAAAAAATTACAGCCTTTGAGTCTTTTAATGCCTCAGTTCTGGAAATGTAGCTTTATATAGACTTGATTAGTCAAACCAATTTAAAAAGCATGCTTTCTTAGGATAGGCTTGAGGGGGGGGAAAATGCTATTCTCTCATTTTAAATCACTGTAATGGTAATGATTGAAATAGTGTACGTGGCAAAGCATGCTGCAGACTCCAGAGAAGTAAAGGTTCTGTCCCTGTTTTCATTGATAAAAGAGCTCAAGAGCTGATCCGAAATGACTGGCAAGTAGCTGTTCACTCTTATCCATGACAAGAAACTGTCAGAACATACTTCTTAGCAAGAGAGTTCTATAAGCTTTATTTAGCTTCCTTCCACACAGGTCAGTTAACCTAGCAATTGTAAACTGAATCAATCAACTGTCACTCTAGAGTATGATATTTTTGTCTTACAAGAGGCAAAACGCTACAAGTGTCCACACATGAGCATCAGAGGATAAGCACATGCATACCTCAGCTTTGAGGAATCCTAGAAGCGACTTGATTGAGAATGTTTTGCTGTCATGGGCGTCTGCTGTGCAGAAAGTTTTTTTTCCTTTGTGGCTTGAAACTGGATTTTTTCAGTGTTAGGTTGATCCATAAACTGATGGTGTTTGTTCCTGAAAATGTTCAGTGGGAAAGTGGGAGGAATGCTGTAGGCTTTCATAGAATTTCTTGCTGTCTGACAGGACTAGAGTTGTTTCGGGAGCTGTGAACAAGCTAGGGGAAAGCAGAGCTTGTTTGTCAGCTGTTAAAGCTGATAGATTCAGTAGCAAGTGCTGATGTTTTCAAGCCATTGTATGGTGTCAAATGCAGCTTTTGATGCTTTCTGGTTTTAGTGTTCCTAAATTGTTTGCCAAATAATGAATCGCTAGCTCCTTTAGTAAGGTAAGATGAATAGGACGAATTGGGGAGGAATAATTTGACAATGCGTAGCACATGAAGTAGCTGTTCAGTTGCAGTTTGCCAGGTCTCTTCATCAGTGTAAGTAATTTCCATCAGATTTCAACATGGCACTCTTGCACAGGAGTTTAGTATTTTAATTCTCAAGCCCACAGTGAATTTGGGATAATGTATGGCATGCTGGGATAGTGCTGGCATGTAAACTGCTGAATAACCTGAATCCACAGCTGTGGAGGGAAGCAGGATGTCAGCATGACTGAAAAAGAAAACTTCAGGTCACTCTGGGGATACAGCTCTCTTTCTTGCCTGTCCTGCAGTAGTAATAGGATTCTTAGGAAGCTGCTGTATTGACAGAGTTGGGGTATGATATTCCTTTTGCTGTCTGAGGTGCAACATGGTTTTTTTATGGCTTCATGTTGCAGAAGTATGTGACAGACTCCAAAAGTGGTGGAAGGCTTGCCAAGTTTGCAACAATGACGACAATCCAGATAGCAGAATTATTTGCTTAATGCTGCTATAAAATCGGAACTTCATCCTGCTTCTGAATAAATTAAAACAAAATTAAAAGAAAACACAAATTTATCTTGAAATATTCCACTCAAAGGATCATCTTGATGGTCTCTTCCTGTAGTTAACCTATTACACTGAAAATAAGTTCTACAGTCCTTTTCTCCCTGCCCTGACTTTCCCGGTCTTTAGTAGTGCAGACAATCTTTAAAGGCATCCCAAATTCAAATTTGGGGCTGATTTGCCTTAACTAAACTCCTTGAAAGGAAGGCATGTGAATGGGAAGATAAGCCGCTTAATAAATGGTCAGATCTGGGCTACTGCAAACTGAGCTATTAGAGGCCTTATGTGAGAATGTGTTTTTTCCCCATCATTAAAAGAATACACAGTGTGTGTTAACCTCCCAAAGACATAGGCTTAGACTGAAGAGGTATGTTAGGTGCTGAAGACCAGATGGCAGGAGTATTCTAAAATTGGGAGTACTTAACCTGTTAGAGATTAGGTGTCTTGATTTCCCCCTCAAACATGCACACTTCCTGCAAAGCGCTGTGAATAGAATCAGTTCCTTAGCTAATATCTGGATGAATGATTTGCACTTCACCTAGGAGTGGTTACTAACGCTGTCTGTCTTCTAAAATATTGTTTTTGTGGGGAAAAATGGAACTCAGTTTTGCTATTGAAGCAGGGTATGTGGAGTAGATAGCAAGTGATCATCTGAATGCAATTGAAAGCTACTAATGTGAAAGAGCAAAGATCAATAGTTTAATAATCTGCAGCCAAGGATAACTTCTTTTTTAAAAAAAAAAAACTTCTATTACACTCAAGCTGAGTAATAGAGGTTTTATTTTTAATGTGCTATCTCATGAAATTCTTACAGAGCCTGAGAGTTCTAATTTTGTTTTCTAGTTCTCAGTGCCAGCTTTATTGGCATTACCCCAATAAAAATACAGATTCTTACTTCTGAAAACAAGATTCTGATAAGAATACACTTACTGACTGGCTTTTTCCTATTGTCCCTTCAGGCTACAACATATTTTCTGCTTATAGGAAAAGTTAAATTATAAGTTGGGACTCCAGTCATGAATAGTCTTGACCTTATCTTTATTATGAGAAAAATGAATTTGAAAGCTTTTCCAGGGGTTATAGGCATACCAACTATAACTTTTTGCACTGCCTCTGCATCTGATGGATTCACCACTCAGCCATAAGAACAGTTATTTCTAAGAGTGTCATTAGGATCATCTTAGATGGTGCTTGATCTGTGAGTGTTTCCCTTTCTTTTGACTGTGCTGGTCAACATTCCTCAAAGGGGAGGGGAAGAATACTTAAGGCTTATGCTTGTAACTTAAATGCATTTAAAAACAAATTTCTTGCTGGATTACTGGGTAGACTAATATTTTTTCCAAAATGGAGAGGTTTTCTTATTTAAGATTTGTCAGTTTAAGGCAAAAATCAGGAAATTAGCAACAGCTAGACATTTCCAGAAATGTTTAGGAAGCCATTAGAAAGGAAACAATTTTGCATACTGACTGTTCTTTCATTTCACTGAGCACCTCAGTCATATCAGCTGAATAATTCTTTTAGTGCTTCTTGTAGTCCTAAACAATTGTTGTGGTATGTGTGATGATATGTGTATGCTTTCATTCTTTGAACTGACTTCTAATTTCAGATCAAAATATGTGATAAAAGGCAGCTTTGACTTATACAATATAAACACTTTAAATAATTCTGATGATTAACTGATATCTCAGTTACAGGGGGAAGATTGTCTTTAACTTTGATTACTTACAAGTGATAGTTCTTCATCATGGCTGAACTATCACCTGAAGAAATTCAGCTGAGGGCCAACCAGGTCACTGATGAGGTAAATATTTTAGGAAGCCATCTGGGGTTAGAGTACTTATAAAAGATATTATGCTCTTGACAGCTAATACAGTCTAGGATGATGATTTGGCAAGAGTACAGCTGAATGTTTTACCTGGGAAATGCTGGAGCTAAGACTGTTCCTGAAAGTGAAAATGGGTTTTAGTTTCTGAATCTTAAAGCCACCTACTTGACTCTGTGCTGACCACCCAGGCATGATTACTGAGGCCATGCAGCCTGGGTGCCTACATTCTTCTAAATCATGTTGATACTTCATGCCTCTAAATCTTTTTTTATTTAACTGCATGCCTTTGAATATTTTTCCTTATAATGCCTTTCCTATGGGATAAGCAAAGTATTAGTAAGTATTGAAATAAAAGGGTTTACTGGCTACTGAAAAAAATTCTAGTATACTGTCATTAGGACAGTCGGATAGGTGCAAATTACATATTGACAGGTTGATGAACCTTTGTCCACTAGTTGCATCACTGAAGTGAACTTATCAGGACTACTGTCAAATGCTAACATGTGCTATTAACACTAATTTTTAAATT